TATCAAAACAGATAGTATTACCGGGCATTAGTTATATTTATACATATTGTTACATTTCCATGTTCTGTGTGTCAATGCAGGTCCTCGTGAATTTCCAGAAATGAATGAAACTCAAATTGATAACATTATAACTGTTGTTGTAAATGAAGATCTTATGGCTCTGTATACATGTAGCGATAAAGAAGAAAGCATTAATCTTGTTTTCGTCAGGAATGTATGAGATATATACTAATTCCAAATATTTTTTCTTGATTTCCCACAGCAGCGTGGACGAATGAATTAAAACAAAACACGGAGACATGTGAGCTTGGTAGCAAAATCGCACATTGGTTTACTTACATATATGATGAGGAATTTACCACTAATTTCCCAGAGTGTGGGAAAGTAGTTTACCACTGTGTGTCTCAAACAGATTCACATCGAACGGCGGATTATGTGTCTGTATGGTGTAAGTAACCAATAAAACAAACCGTCTTATTTATGACGTCATCACGAGAACAGTGTATTGTTTATATTACGTTATTATAACTTATAAAATAATACAGCATCACCAATGCAAATAATGGTAAATTGGTGACGTAAAACAGCAGTTGCCATGGTGACTGTATAGCAATACGAGCCAATTGACAGAGATGTATGAACGGTTATTTCACGTGCGTTTGTGTCAGTTTTGAACTACCTTACACCTCCATGACAACTTCATTTTTTGTGTATATAAAGGCATATACGTAGTGTAATAAATAAGTGAAACATTTTATTATTTCATATCAAGGACAGAATAGACTCTTATTATACACAAATAATATTTGATATTATCGAACATCGTATTGTTTTACCCTAATATTATGACCCACAGTTATATCTTCCGTACAATGACCAGAAAAATGAGAAGTTCCATCGCAACATCAAATATAATTCGCTCGTCGATGAGAACTTTATCTTGGGATCAATAATACTCGTTATATTTTCGTATCATTCTGTTGAAAAAACCAAGTGTATTATGATGCTAGCTTAATATATTTGTAAACACAGTACAGTATCATTCAGCGCAATCCCATTTAGCGTGAACTTTAGTTTGAGACGAGTATGGGGTCCAATAAGAGCGTTCAATGACATATTCAGTTCTTTTAAAAACCTGTTATATTTATCATGTGATAGAAATCATATAGAAAGGGTTATTTCAATATCTCATCATCAAATAGGCCTCGGTAACCTACAGCAAACAACGCAAACCTCCCTATATGAACTTGGCTAGTGATCTCGTTTCACTTATCTGTTTACCCGTGCACTATATGTACCAATTTCATGTTATTTTTTGTTGATAGAGTTGAGCAGCTGATAAAGAGGTCATTCGCGACTAAAACGGAGATAACGAAAGATAAAGCTCGAGGTACTATATGACATTTGTTTGCGCTCTGAACATAAAAGATGTCAATAATTCTGCTCCGGAAAAATGACGATTTATCTCGTTGATAATCGCTGAAAAAATTACGTTTTTAGGAAATGAAACTGCTCAGACAAATAAAGCAAATATGTTTGAGTCGTACATATAAACAACTGTAATTTGAAGAAACAGCTTTTTATTAATAAATGTAAATATATAGTATATACTCCCGTTCTTTGCTATGTTTTACTACAACGCTACATATTCAATGAACGCATCTTATACAACTTATATATGAAATCATTCTCATCAATTTCCACACAAATCCGAAAAAAAAAACTGAACTATTTTTCTTCTTCTGTGTATTTAGCTTATTGATTTTGATTCGGGATATAGTATGCTTGAAGAAAGCCGATGGATGAAAAATAAGGACGGAAATTGACAAGTCTGTTCGGAAGCAAGTTAGCCCATCAATGTTTTGCCCGTACCATACATACACAATTCGCATTCATTTTTAAATCTGCATGGGGCCTTTTACAACTCAGGTACGCAACAAATGTACAGAAATGTCATCAATAGTTTATATATAAAAAAATAGAATTTTAGCAGAAAGTATTATATTTAGTTGCATATATGAATTGACAATTAGTATGTATAAATCGTATAAATGTTCACAAAATTGAGTTACTCGACATTTTTTAGTTTCCCTGGCAGTATTGGCTGATATGTTCTAGTTTACAATAAGATACTATACTCCATACGGAGTATACCTATTTAATGCACTATCCTTTTCTAAGTACTCCCATTAGAATCAACCTCACATCACACTGTCAATTAGGAGGTAAATGTAGCGTAGTTTTAACACTGTCGATTACGTGACTGTTTCGAGTGTTTCGTAACAGGCATGACAGGCAACATCGTGAAGTCGGTGAATATGTCTACAAACAGACAATGATCATTTAAATGATTTCCTCGTCAATCTGTCAATATATAACTTCATACGGATATATAAAATAAATGTTCCTATAATGCCACTCACCCATGCACAACACATATATAATATAATATAATATAATATAATATAATATAATATAATATAATATAATATAATATAATATAATATAATATAATATAATATAATATAATATAATATAATATAATATAATATAATATAATATAATATAATATAATATAATATAATATATAATGTCATTGCAAGACAGGCTAATTTATGCAATCTTGGCCTCCTAGTTATATGTTCAAGCTCTAATTTAATTGTTATTCTTTTTTATTTGTATTCTATTCTATATTTTTTTATGTGTTTTTTAAATGTTTTTACATGTTTAATGTACATGTTCTATTTCATTTTTATTTATATGTTATGTGTTTTGGGTATTTTATTATTTGTAGTTTTTACAGTTTGTTGTCTTTTTCTTTTTTAATTGTTCTGGGTGACCACATGGCAGGCACCGACCCTCATCATTTAGATTGACTTGCATTTCGATGTCGGGAACTATTCGAAGACACAGTTATAGATATATTATTGTAGTTCAGCGCCTAGATATTTGTTTACGTTTGCACACATCGTTACCAGACGGCAGCGTGTTTGTGTATTGCATATGTCCTTGAAAATAACTCACGTCATTATGTATAAACCACAACGCTGTCGCTACCGGCGCCCGCGATAATATATACTAACAGTGAAGAGAAGGGCAGCTATGTAGATGTGTCTGTAACTTCCCATGACGTATCATAGACGCATTTAGCTCTATAAAAGTCCTCGAAATAATCAAATAAACGTACATCCATGTTTTACCGAATTCACAGTCAGACTGTCGCCCATTTGGCAAGATAGTCGTAAATATGAATTTCCCAATTTCCGAATTGTGAAAGAATTAACGCACAGACGTGTCAAAGTTCCAGGCGTCATTGCTATTTTATTGCTAGTTAGAGCACTTTCTCTCGTTAGACCCAATTTCTTGACTCGCACCGTATGTGTAATGTGTGAATAAGTACATTATGGCTATGCTGTACTCTTAGATATTCACTGTTTCCCAACGAGCAAAGATTAATCATGTTTAAGTACGTTAACAGAATTAAAGTTATTTTGTTCACGATAGTATTATATTATTTTTATTTTTTTCAGTATGCCGCGTATAGTGTAAATCTATGGCATGGCACGTGGAGTTAGGGGAAGCATAGCCTGGATTCCGTCAGTAGATTAGACAATATGATAAATTTTCAAAGCATACGTAAAAAGAACAAAACATTATGAAAAGCGCCAGATGGTACTAACGACTGATAAACCTGCAAAAATTATCTCAACCCAGTTTTGATACTAAAAACCCATATTTTCATTACTTTAAAATCAATCAATACTCAATAATCAATTTTATTTTAAATTCCGATAGTTAGTAATTCAAATTCACTACATTTTGTGTAAATGTACATCCCACTGATTATCTTTCTAGTATATTGTATTGCAAATTAAAGGGGAATTCTCTCAAAATCACAATTGTGTAATTTATTTCGAATTTTCTCATGCATTATGCGATTGCGCCCACCAGTGTATTAAATTGTCTCATTAATCCTACTCAACAGCAGATATAATACGAAGACGACTTCAATTTCATGTCTTCAGGCTATTTGCGTAATGCAGATCGTAATCGTTTCACCTAATATATATGGAGGAATGCTTTCTGAATACACATCTGCAATTCCGCGAACAATTCAAATTGCTTTATTCACCAGTACAACGTTCTAACGTAGATTTAAAATATTGGATATAATAAAACAGAACGACGGTTAGTCAGATATCAATTCATTTATTCCGCGTCAAAGTTGGAAACGGTGCTACTTGTAGTAACATCCATATAAATAACGTCATATCGGAGTCTGGAAGTAACTGTGCACACGAAATGTTCAAAGCAAATTTTGAGCCCACGCATCTGAGCATCTTCCGAGTTGATTGAATATTAAATTAATGGAATGCGCCTTGCAATGAAAGGTGACAAATGAACAACGTTATTTGCCTTGAATCTTGCAGGCTAAACGAGTGCTGTAGTGCTGTGTTTTTAGTACGCCGACTATGGACTTTCCAGAGAGAGTCGATCTATCCCATCATGCCACGTTGAGTGAATAGGCCATGTGTTGAGCATCACCGGTGTTCAGTCAGTCACAGCGCTGGCTTCGAGGCGGACAGCCAAACCCGTAGCTCGGACTAATTAGTTTTGTCAGTACACAGTGAGACGACTTGTATGAGCGCTGAAAATCGTCAACTACAGAAGAACTAAACAGAGAGCCGTGCATGGTAGAAGTCACAGCGTACACGGACGACTGACTCGTTGCGATAGTGATATGGAGATCCAGTTAATGCCCGTCCACTGCAGCACGTATGTTAAATGAATGCTTATTTTGGTCTGTATATATACACACGAATTACCATCTTTAATCTGTTAGCTGTCAGTGCGGAGGGAGGAGTTGATTATTTTATTGGTATATAAGTATCTGTGGACTGGATAGAAAAAAACACCGGCATACTGTAACAGACTGTGTTAGTAGCTGCGCTTGTCCACGATTGCTAAGTCGTTGTAATCACATATACATACCCATCACCATGACACTGAATACAACATTGTTGTTATTCTTTGATGACCAAATCGTGTCTAATACGACGGCCAACATCAGTAGTCCTCCAGCTTTACTCCCAATCTGGGTAACGAGCGTTGTGCTGCCCGCTTTCTTCGGAGTCGTGTGCGTGTCGGGACTCATCGGCAACGGTTTGGCTCTCATTGTATTTCTCCGATTTTCCAATACAAAAAAAGTACCTAATGTATACATTTTGAACCTGGCATCAGCTGATCTCTTGTTTATGTTTGGTATCCCATTCCTGACGTACCAGTACGCTGCTCAACAATGGATATTCGGGGAATTGATGTGTAAAATCATATTTGCTATCGACGGAATGAATATGTACACCGGCATTTTCACGCTTACCGCCATGAGCGTAGATCGCTATTTGGCCATCGTGCATGCAGTTTGGTCAATGCGACACCGTACACTCAACACAGCACGAGCTATATGTTTAATATTATGGCTTCTATCAACAGTCGTGACAATTCCTCTGTGGATATACTCTAAGACAATCGAAGACAATGGCAGAGTACTGTGCGACGTGTCCTGGCCGGATGGCAATATAATGGAAAACCTGTTTATTCTCTACAGCTTTGTAGTCAGTTTTCTCTTACCACTAATTATTATTTCGGCGTGTTACATAGGCATTATGACGTCTCTTGCCAAGGGCTCAATGGGACAAAAGAAAAGACGAAAATCTAAGTTAGGTAGAGTCGGGGTGATGGTATTGTTAGCTGTAGCATTATTCATTGTATGTTGGTTACCTTTTTGGACTGTGCAGCTGGTTATGCTTACGCTCAATGAAAAAAGGCCATCCCGCTCGCTGGCCATCGCCTACTACACCAGTCTGTGTATGAGTTACGCCAACAGTAGCCTGAACCCTGTCGTGTACACGTTTTCACGCAAGAACTTTCGTCAGGACCTAACGCGAACACTTTTCAGCTCAAAGCCGAGTTACAAAATCACCGACAACAAACGAAACGCCACACTTTATACTCACGATAAATGCGAGAGGACAATTGGAAACTCAAACGACCTTTAATATTTCATTTATAAGTATAGATTACGGGAACTAAAGAGCGTTGTGCGTTTTAAATCTTCGTCATTTGACTTATTTCCATTCGATGTATTTAGAAATCGCTATTCTGACAATGCTCTGCAATTAGGTGATATTGGTCATTGCTTCCTTAATTAGTATTTTCTCTTTTACTGCATGTATTTATTATATGTATACGTACGTTACAGGCGAGGTTTACTTATTATAATAGTAATTGCACATCCACTCACAGTGTGTGTAGATAGGTAGATAGGTAGATAGATAGATATATTAAATATACATTGCGATGTAGTAGGGAAAATTAACAGAAAAACCTGTCGCCTAGCAACCGGGTCAGCAAATCAAATACCTCCGTATAAGCGGTGTAGATACGGTTTTGGCAAATGTTATGTCACTTATTATCACCTCTGCTAATCTAATAAAATGACACATTTGAACATGTCTCTAAATTACTACGTGTTGTCAATATTATGTCGCGGAGAGCGCACTGGTCTAAAATTGGGTCGCCTTATCAAGTTCACATTCAGCTTACATGTTATAAAATAATACAATAACCAGAGACGGCGTGCTGAGCCCATCTTTGTCAGGTTTCGACAATGATATAGAATTGCACACGGTGAATACTGCAGTTTGTATGTTATAGTTCAAGAGATATCAGCTGAATGCAATTGCTTGGTTCACCGAGAGCTCAATATTTACGATTTCTTCATTTCAAAATAATTATTCTGTAAGATACACTGCAAATAATGTATGTAGGTAGTAGGATTCAAGTTGCTGTGCACATGTGTATACATGAGCGATGAGAAATTGAGCTATAATACGCATTTTTTTCGCCATTATTACCGTTTGAACGACTTCTAAATTGGGTATTCACGCTATATGAGGCTAGCGTAGATTCACCGTGCAAATGATGGTACGCCTGTAATGTCGTTTCTCTCACTTCTGCCTCTGGAATTCATCGATCGTAGATGTCGTACGTTGCCAGATTGATATTTACTACGTCTTCCTGTCTTGCCATGAAGTCCGGATTGTTTATACACTGTATGTTACATATATGTATATTTGTTCTACGCGCCGTTTAATGTGGGCGTTAAATCTCTGATTTCTTCTTTCCAACACTGTATTTTATTTAATGGAGTCTTTGTAACGTGTTCAATACATATATGTATAATTGGCGCATTTCCTAATGTACTTAATTCTTGTATGGAGGTGACATTTCCGTTGCAACCTTGTGACTTATTATCTATGTGGACCATGTGTTATGTGAATATCGCTGCGTTGTTTCAATTAAAAATGCCATGAATGAATACTGCGATTTAAGCGGATGTAGCTGATGTCTCCACTCTAAACTCCCACTACACAATGAGCCGTTGTACTGTCATTTTTAATGAAAAATTTGAATTAGTAATTTGTCAACACTTGCAGATCTTCATCTTGTTTCAATCGTCGTCGGTTGTGCGTAATTTTCTTGTCATCGGAGACTATCCGACATGCAATACTTTTAGTATAAAATGTGATGTGTATTTGCATCGTCATAGCGGAAACGTGAGCGAAAAATTCGAACAAGACAAGAATTCGTGTACACACATACCTAAATTATTCGCCTTTCGCGGTAGTATAACGATTATTAGCAGTTGAATGGAACAGCGTTTAAACTAAAATTAGAAATTAGAAATGCGGTGAATTACTAGTTTTCTAAATATTCGGGAAATTCGGGAATACCCACAAATTCCATTTAATTGTATAAAAATCATTTCAACCAGCGCGTACGGTTGATCTGTGTATCATTAACATGAATCGCTGTATGAAGGTTTTTTTCAAATTCGAAAGACAGGTGCAGATTGTGTGATATTGTAAAGAGTCGGCAACCGTATATGAGCCGTATACACATTGATATGCAATTGTTAGTAACGCGTCCTAATTTACGTTCATATGCGATATATGTAATCATAAAACAAGCTGGAATACAAAGATTGAGTGTCGCTTTCTAGGAATGTTGTAGATAACAGTATTTTGTCTTAATCAACTGTACCTTGCATTAATCGATTATCAGATTAAACTATTACAACATACATGGCACCAGTGCATATGCATGGGCGGAAAGTTCTTGCAATCGTGTTGTCAGCTAAAATAATTAAATAGAATCCAATTTATGTGTTAATAGACTGTTTGATCAGTTTAGCGGAGTTCTCGGGACATCTAAAACCTTTATGGCAGCGTTCCACTGTTGTATTTATTTCGTCTATGAATGTGTGGAATGGCTACACACAGTCCATGCAGGAGAACTCGATATTTTGTTTCTCAATCTGCGTTACCAAATATTTTCTTATTTTACATTAGAGTTGCCATTCATGTTATGTTAATTTAGTTATGCTCTTTTCTTCTTCTTCAGAGCATATTAGAGGTTTTAAGTCAAACTCGTACAATTATGTGGTCAGTCAATTTGGTTAAATGTTCGTTACAACCCATTAATGGGTGTGAAACATTGGCACTTAATCATCGTATGTTACTATGGAAACTCAAGCCCCTGACATTCCAAATAACGTTTCAATCTTTGCCAGGGATATTAGTACCGTATGGCTTATAATACTGGCTGTACCTTTACAAGTATTTTTACTACCCGTTCTAAATATTATGCGACGTAGTAGGTGTTACTCGGCACTTTGCCCCTAGCAACACCTACTGAGTCGAATTGTGTTCCATATTATTTCAGGCGTAAATTCTCGAATTAACGCAGAATGTGCTAAGGGCATTCACAGTCACACACATAGTTTTTTTGTAACCTAAGATGCCTTAATTCGAAGGACGAAACTACCAATTTCAGAAACATATTTGAAACGTGTCACATGTCATAAAAGAAAAATTTACTTTCGTACAATACCATCTCACAACGACCTAAAGTCTCTCTTTTTTGTCATCACAGTTTGAAGAACTTGGAATCAGCCTGTCACTTATATTGGCAGTATAGTTCGTGTCCGAAATTGGGCAATTATCATCATGGTATTTAGCGCCAAGAACTCTTGTTACCCAGCTGGATGGAATGTTTCGACGTTTAAAATAACACACATTTGTTCGATGATCGCACGCTATCGCGATCCCATTCGAGCATATACTCAGTGTAGAATGTAACTTGATCTCTGTATATTCCTACATTAGCGGCAATTAAGAGGACGTCGTCTCAGGCTAAATGGACACTTTGCATTGCCTACAGCTAGCGATAATAATAACCTAAAAATGCACTTATCAACAGAATTATTAGAGTGAATAGTTGAATATCGTATATGAGGCAAGTAGTTACATAGTGCAATCAACACTCACACTGGAGCTGAGCATATATATATATATATATATATATATATATATATATATATATATATATATATATATATATATATAAGTAACATGCCTAGCCATGTTAGTCGAGTAGGTAGAGTAAATAGAGAATTCTATACGGCGGATAGAAGTATGTAATATTCGTGACTTTGTTGCATAGCGCTACACGTTAACGTAAGCAGTTAGTCGATCTTCTCATTGGTTTTGGGTATAAGTAAAAAATCGAATGGGATTGCACGGTCCGAGGTTGCTATGTTAGAAAAAATGTTATCAGTACCGAATCTGTCACCAAAAGCTCATCAGTCGGCTTCAATAATGTGAATCGCGGGGTTATAAGGTCAACAACACAAAACAAATCATAATCTGTAAATCCAATTTCAGGATTGTCACTCTCACCTTGAGCAGATTAAATGGCACAGTCCTTTAGTGCGTTATTAAACTGAACGAGCTCTAATCTCTAATGAGCACGACCAATCCATGATGTTAATCAGACTAAGTCAAATTTCTTTTCATTACGACGTCGACAATCAATAACACATTGACTGCCACACATACATGATGAATGTTGCAGTTCTATCAAGTTCATCATATCGCGCCTACGGGAGTCTGACAGATAGACAATCAACACGTCAATGTTTTTTCTGTAATCAAACGTCTGACGCGTATCACCAATAAGCCTAGACACAATCGATTCGAATCGGCTTAATAGGAAATGTTTAATTACATAATCACCATCACTTCCCTGATTTGTGTTTAATCCAATTCGAATTCAGTTCTTTACAACATCAATAATGCTGACAGTTCGAAATTTGCTTTCAGAGTTACTGGTCATTAAAACGGCACCGTGTTCTAGATCACTAGATATTTAGTGACGTAACGTATAATAGAATCACGCACATGTCAATTATTATACCCCCCCCCGTTTACTGCTACACGTAGAGTGCAACACACATAGTGCAAAACGAGTTTGAATGACAGAGCGTCATTAAATCAGTAGAATAAACGTACAGTATACGTTACATAGTGTGTGACTGCGGTAACAGAGTTTGTAACAATTTACAATTAGTTCCAGTCGTGTATATTGATAATATGAGATTATTACGAGGATACCTCAAAGTATGCACGAAGACAGTACAGCAGGAGTGTAGACTGATGCGCACCGGGGGTAGATGCGACGGCGTACCGTCTGAGTAATCTTATTATTATACATCTTTTCCTTCCAAGGATACATCATGGGAATGCCGAAATCCAAAAAGTTTAGAATAGAATCAGCGAACGTCTTTGTGTGGAGTTCGGTGAAACCCCGATGGCAGCCATGTTTGCTTTCGCACTTAATCATTCCATATTTGGAATTCGCATTTCCTAATATGGTAGCATGAGAATACCCCGTAAAATACCACAAAATTACGGCACGCTGTAACTTGTGACGTTACGGTGACAGATGTATAATAATACATTGTAATACGAAATAATTATGAATCGCAAATTAGTGTGACCTTGCCGGTATGCTTGACCCTAAGAGAGCAAACATTCAGAACTATAAATATCATATACGACATGTGAAAAATACTATGGTCATTATGTGATATAATTTCAGATGATAAAAATAACTCAAAAGTAGAAATTGAGTTGTGCAAGCGACCCTTGACATA